GTTTTATTATATCTTTTCAAAATAGTGTCCATTTACATCAATGCATCGCTGTATCCGATGGAACCACTGACAAAAGCATTTTGCCCACTCGTCCTTAGGGTCTCTTCGACGGCATTTTGAAATGCAACCACTGCTTCCTCGGCGTTCATAAAACGTTTTCCTCGAAGTTTTTCTTTTATTTTCGGAAATAAATAAAAATCGCAAGGTGCGAGGTCGGTGCTATAGGGCGTGTGATCCAGTAATTCCACGTGTGACGATGCCAAGTAGTCGATTGTTTGCTTGGCAGTGTGCGACGAGGAGTTGTCGTGGTGAAGGAGGATCCTACTGCGAGGTCGTTTTTCCCGAACTTTTTCCAAGATAAGTGGCAAACAATTGTTAGTGTACCACTTTGCAGTAACTGTTTTTCGGTTCTCTAAAACAATTGTTTCGTAATGACCTGTCCTTCCGAAGAACAAGGCCACCATCTTCTTTCCCAAGCTTCGATCTCTCTTCACTTTAGTTGGCAACTCCTCGGAAGGAAACACCCAGACAACAGACTGTCTCTTAGTTTCAGGATCATAACAATAAATCCAACTTTACGTTACCCGTAAGTATGTCGAACATAGCATTTGAGTCACCTCCGTTAAATCTTTGAACCATTTCACGACACCAATCAACACGACGAAGTTTTTGGGCTTCTGTTAAATTATGAGGTATCCACCGGGCACAAAGAACAAGGCCACCATCATCTTTCCCAAGCTTCGACCTTTCTTCACTTTTGTTGGCAACTCCTCGGAAGGAAACACCCAGACAGCAGACTATCTCTTAGTTTCAGGATCATAACAATAATTCCAACTTTACGTCATCCGTAAGTATGTCGAACATAGCATTTGAGTCACCTCCGTTAAATCTTTGAACCATTTCACGACACCAATCAACACGACGAAGTTTTTGGGCTTCTGTTAAATTATGAGGTATCCACCGGGCACAAAGAACAAGGCCACCATCATCTTTCCCAAGCTTCGACCTCTCTTCACTTTTGTTGGCAACTCCTCGGAAGGAAACACCCAGACAGCAGACTGTCTCTTACTTTCAGGATCATAACAATAAATCCAACTTTACGTCACCCGTAAGTATGTCGAACATTGCATTTGAGTCACCTCCGTTAAATCTTTGAACCATTTCACGACACCAATCAACACGACGAAGTTTTTGGGCCTCTGTTAAATTATGAGGTATCCACCGGGCACAAAGAAGAAGGCTACCATCATCTTTCCCAAGCTTCGACCTCTTTTCACTTTTGTTGGCAACTCCTCGGAAGGAAACACCCAGACAGCAGACTGTCTCTTAGTTTCAGGATCATAACAATAAATCCAACTTTACGTCATCCGTAAGTATGTCGAACATAGCATTTGAGTCACCTCCGTTAAATCTTTGAACCATTTCATGACACCAATCAACACGACGAAGTTTTTGGGCTTCTGTTAAATTATGAGGTATCCACCGGGCACAAAGAACAAGGCCACCATCATCTTTCCCAAGCTTCGACCTCTCTTCACTTTTGTTGGCAACTCCTCGGAAGGAAACACCCAGACAGCAGACTGTCTCTTAGTTTCAGGATCATAACAATAAATCCAACTTTACGTCATCCGTAAGTATGTCGAACATAGCATTTGAGTCACCTCCGTTAAATCTTTGAACCATTTCACGACACCAATCAACACGACGAAGTTTTTGGGCTTCTGTTAAATTATGAGGTATCCACCGGGCACAAAGAACAAGGCCACCATCATCTTTCCCAAGCTTCGACCTCTCTTCACTTTTGTTGGCAACTCCTCGGAAGGAAACACCCAGACAGCAGACCGTCTCTTACTTTCAGGATCATAACAATAAATCCAACTTTACGTCACCCGTAAGTATGTCGAACATTGCATTTGAGTCACCTCTGTTAAATCTTTGAACCATTTCACGACACCAATCAACACGACGAAGTTTTTGGGCCTCTGTTAAATTATGAGGTATCCACCGGGCACAAAGAACAAGGCTACTATCATCTTTCCCAAGCTTCGACCTCTTTTCACTTTTGTTGGCAACTACTCGGAAGGAAACACCCAGACAGCAGACTGTCTCTTAGTTTCAGGATCATAACAATAAATCCAACTTTACGTCAACCGTAAGTATGTCGAACATAGCATTTGAGTCACCTCCGTTAAATCTTTGAACCATTTCACGACACCAATCAACACGACGAAGTTTTTGGGCTTCTGTTAAATTATGAGGTATCCACCGGGCACAAACTGACCGCTAAATCATGTCGGATTTTGTGCACTTGTCTCATACCGATGCCTAAGCTTGTCCGAATCTGCTGATAAGTCACTGTTTTGTCAGTCTCTATCATACTCCGCACAACACTGATGTTATCTTCAGTCGTCGTCGTAGAAGGCCGTCCCTCACGCAGATAATCGGTGAGATTAGTGCGACCACGTTTAAACGTGGTAGAGCCATGCTGCAGCTATATTATGGTTGTAGCACGAATGGGTCGGCTCGACCTACCACGCTCTCACAGAATACCAGCGTAAAATAGCAGCTTAACACTGCTGTGTTTCGTATGGTGAGTGTAGAGAACCGGAGACCCTTTTACTGGAAACGAGGCATTCCATCTTAGTCCTCACGGGTTACAATGCATCTGCATTTTGATTCGTAATCGTAAATAGATGTAGATGTCTATGGGCTACAGCAACCACTAACCATCAGGTGGACTGTGTGCTCGTTTGTCACCCTGATCCTATAAAAAATCTCATTAAACCAGTTGTAAACAGTGTCACGAGATGGGGATTTATTGTGATAGGCCAATCGAAGTCTATCATAACTTTCTTGTTGACTTAAATGACATCGAAAGTCATAAAAAATCATTGTACGAAAATTTTCTCGCATTAAATTCATGCTGACGTGCCACAGACAATTTTCAATTTGCCGCCAAATCGTAAACAAATGACAAATTAATAAAATACATACACAATAATATTGGCAAAGAGTTCCATTTTCAAAATTTGAACTTGGTTTTTTATTATATCGTTTACAAGTGGTCAGTTCTAAAAACTTTTAGTGTCGGCCTCTTACATGTCTCTCATAGGGTCAATTTCCATAGATAGATTAAACAAGGACAAACATGCAGACCCAGAACAATTATTTGCAGGTCATACAAATACTTGTTCCGTGCGGGATTCGAACCCGCGGCCCTTAGCGCTGCAACTCATTGCTAAGCCACATACACACTTTAACATTTTTTGCTATTTACAAACATGGGACACGCTACAGCATTGTTAATGAAAGAGTTTCAATGGGAAGTGCTTCTATTTTCAATCTCTTTCTTTTATCGACCGAGTAAGTGTTTAACTAATAATATCTTTCACTAGCTGTGCTCCGCGAATTCGTCCGCGTGGAATTTGTTACGATTGGATTTTATGGGTTTTAATTATTTGCGCGGAACCCTAATTCCTTTTCTAAAATAAAAGTAGCCTAAGTTACTCCTTATAACATTAGCTGTCTGTCAGTGAAAGTTCCGTCAAAATCGCTGTAGTTGTTTCGGAGATAACCCGAAACGAACAGACAGGCAGACAATTTTTTTTAAAAATTGTGGCTACTCATATTATCGTATAAGGACAACCTTATACTATGATATGAGTAGCCGTATATCAAGAAAACAGTACAGTTAGTTACTAAATCTATGAAGAAAACATTCTTATTAAGCAATCTTATATTTTATGAAAAAATAATTTTAGATTTCTAGTTTGAAAAAAAAAAACGGTTTCAAATAAATTATACGTGGACGTCCGGATGTTGATTTTATATGTAGTCACGATATCTTCCGAAGAAATTGACGTATCGAGACCAGGTTTTTTTTTATTAGCTTCAGAATTACATCAACTGGTTTCCTATTTCCTAATATGCGTAGTTTTGTTAATAAAATGATTTTCAACTTTTATAAGTTTTATTGCTATCATAAATTTAAAGGCGTTGTCTAAATATACTTTTTTAATATTTGATAGAAAAAGTATAAATGTACCATACATCCTATATCAATTTTATACATTGTGCTATCGATTTATTTTGGTAAACATTATTATTTTTTCCCCTGTAGGTAACACTACTCGTTAAAATATAGAGCGCTAAATTGAATACACGCAAATAATATATTTTAAAAGTCGGGAATAAATTTTTTTTCATCATAATTAAATGATACGCTCATAGGCGTACACTTGGATTTTCCAAACTATTTTACTAACATTTTATATCTACAATACATCGTGAAATATTATATAATGCACTGATAGCAGGCTTATATTAGTGCACTATACATATAATATTAACAGTTAACAAATCATTTATTAGAGATCATTTGAATGTGATTGATTATTAATTAGTATCTAATAAATTATTTATTTGTATTTAATAAGTTATTTGTTAGTGGTACTTTTCACTTGTTTCAACAAGTAACCTCATTTTGTCAAATTTTTAAAATATTTGATAAAAGTGTTAATTTAAGTTGAGAGTTAGTTTATTATAAACAAAATAATTATCCCCAAATACTTTTTTTTAATTGAAAATATTAAAAAATATTTCAATGTAAACAACTCGCGAGAAATAGTTTACACCGAATCGGTAGTACAGAAATTATCCGCCTAATAAATATTCGTTAACTATTAATAAATCTTATTAACTGTTAACAAATATTTATTTCAATATGATAAGGCATTTTAAATATTATTATTATTTATTAAAGACTAATAAATGATTAATATAATGCTAATAATTTAGGATTTTTAAATTGAAAATTCTATAAAATTTTATGATTAATTTAATTTCTCAAAAGTATTGGCTTAAATTGTCAGAAATAAAATACATGTCCTTTTTTTTCAAAATGATGATTTATAAACTTATATAATTAAATTTCACTATTAGAACTTTACAAAAAAGTATTGTCATGTTATTTTAAATTTTAATTTTCTATATTTGTTTAGATCCTTGATCCTATGTGAAAAGGAAAATTGAAGATGTCTTCAGACGGTGGTAGAAGAAAACGACAGGACGATTATGAAGAAGCGGATTTCTCTAATGATGGCACAAGTCAAAATAAATTTGCTGAAATTAAAAAAAGAAGGGAAGCACAGAATAAAATTAGGTGTCAGCGATATAGAGATAAGAAAAAAAAGAAAGCAATCGATGAAATAATTAGTTCACAAATTTATAAAGAACCAACAAGCATTGTTGACGAGGAAGAAGTAATCAAACGTCGTAAAGAATATGACAAACAAAAAAGTCAGCGGTACAGAGATAAAAAAAGAGCTTCTAATTTGAACAAATTACATAGAAATCAATCCTCTAAAACAGTTGTAAGGCATGTTTCTAAATGTCAAAATTTCTGTAACTCACAAATTGCAGGCCCATCATAAAGAAATGTGCCATATGTCCTACCAATTTATACTGATGACCTATCAACACGGGATGAACCATACATTCCAGAGTCACATTCCGATTATGATAACGATATTCATATTGATCCCCCTTCACAAGTTGATTATGTTCCACAACTACATGAAGCAATAATAAGAAACTATGTACGAAATACTCCAAATATTTTTCACAGGATATTCAAAATAATACTCAAAACGCCTTCTTAACATACCTGTGCAAACATATTCTTCTTTTTTTATAGTCGGGGCAAACGAGCATGTTGCTCACCTGATGGTAAATGACTACGGCCGCCCATGAACGACTGCAACACCAAGGGAATTGCAGATGCGTTGCCGGCCTTTTAAAAAGGAGTAGGCTCTTTTCTTGAAGGTACCTAAGACGTATCGGTCCGGAAGAATCACTGGTGGTAATCAATTCCACAAGGAAGTTGTACGAGGAAGAAAACATCTTCTAAATCGCACAGTGGTGGACCGCCAATCATCCAGGTGGTATGGATCGCAAGTTTTGTCGCGATATGCGATGGTGAAATTGAGCGACTGGAATTAGTCCGAACAATTCCTCAGAGCACTCCCCATGGTAAATGCGATAAAATACGCAAAGAGATACAACATCTCTACGCAGTGCCAGTGAGTCAAGCCGATCGGAAAGTACTCTGGTCGTCGACAATTCGAACCGCTCTGCGCTGGATGCGGTCCAGTGGAAGGAGCTGGCACTGGGGAGCCCCTGCCCAGAGATGGGAACAGTATACCATGTGAGGCCGAACCTGCGCCTTGTAAAGTTGCAGGCGGTGTGACGGCATGAAATACTGTCCCGCTCCGCTGAGCACGCCACGCTTTTTAGAGGCCAATTTGGCCTTCTCTTCCAACTGACCACGAAACTGCACGTCACTCGATATGTCGACGCCGAGGATTCCGATACTGGTTGAGGCAACAAGGGGAGTGCTTTGAAACTGAGGAGATACGACATAGGGGTTCCTTTTAGAGGTAAACGCGCAAACTTGTGTCTTCTGGGGATTGAACTGGACTAGATTTAGTCGCCCCCAATCAGAGACTTTGTTGAACAAAGTCTCGACTTCAGACACAAGTTTGTTCCGGTACTCGGCGAAGTTTTCCCGAGAAATGTTGGCACGGCCGGTGTATAGAGCATCACCAGTGCTGTCATCTGCATAGCAATGTATGTTACCAGTTTGCAACATATCATTGATATGCAAAAGAAAAAGCATTGGTGATAGCACGCAGCCTTGTGTAACACCAGCGTTAATAGGCTTGTAATCGGAGCATGCAACGTCTACTACGACCTTGATGCTCCGATCAGCCAGAAAACTGGTGATCCAATGGCACAATTTCTCGGGAAGCCCATAGGAAGGAAGCTTCGAAAGAAGCGCTTTGTGCCAGACCCGATCGAAGGCCTTCACTATGTCCAAACTAACGACCAATGCCTCCCCCTTGGACTCGATCGCCTGCGCCCATCTATGTGTTAGGTAAACAAGAAGATCATCAGCTGAGCGACGCCGACGGAAACCGTACTGACAGTCACTGATCAGCTGGTGCTCCTAAAGGTACCGCATGAGTTGGCAGTTAATAATGGACTCCATTATTTTCGAAAACAAGGAGGTGATGGCGATAGGCCGGTAATTGGACGGATCAAAGCGGTTACCTTTTTTAGGGATCTGGTGCACTAAACCTGTCTTCCATAAATTCGGGACAACGCCTAGGAAGTAGGAGTACCAAAAAAGACGCGTTAGAACCGGTGCCAGCTCTAGAGCGCACGTCCTCAGCACAATTGGCGGGATTCCGTCAAACCCACTCGACTTGTGGATGTCCAGGGAAAAGGAGTGCTTTGCGTAGTGAGCACTGTGTGAATCGCACATCAGGCATGGAGCACTCACATCGCGGGATGGTCGGCGGTGTGTTCCCCCCGTCATCTAGAGTCGAGTTGGACGCAAAAAGAGAGCTCAACAGATCGGCTTTCTCCTTTGCGGCGTGGGCCAGTGAGTCATCCTCCCTGTGCAGAGATGGTAGTGATGGCTTACAGAAATTTCCTTGGACAGCCTTGGCGAGAGACCAGAATACACGGGAGCTTACTTTTACAAAACACCGCCCACTTCGAGAGTACAACATGTGCAGAAAGAGAGATAATCGTCGACACACGGCTTAGTGTGAAGAAAACAGAATGTTCACACACATCTGTTCTCTTCATAATCACAAAATTAAATTTACCGATAGACAAGGACAGAGATAGGAAACGTCATAGTTGTGCGAGCGAAATCGCGTTGGTTAATCGCGTATCGTGTCTCTCACGCATGTTTGTATTATCTATCTTGCTCTCACAAACATGGCGAACAATAAACATCATTATAATTTACAACAAAATAAAATTTTTAGCTATAATTATGAGTGGTAATTAATCCCGTGTATCTTATTTTTATTTCTTGAATTATTAGAACACTGTTTAGCTGCACAAGAAGTCACTCAGAGTCTTTTTTTTTATATCAACTCTAAATTCCTTTAGTAGTTTCTCTATTTCTGACATTTTGGTGCCTTATATTATAGAACCGAAGTGCTGGAATGTAACTGTATCAACCACAGGTATCAACTATCAACAACTCAACACAACCGTTCTGCAGCGTCCGTACAGTTAACGCCATCTACGGAAACTACAGTACTAATTAATACATATCTCCGCTAACTCAATAACTAGTCGAAAAATCGATCGATGTCTTTGAGCGTGGAAAGTGGTTTTGATGATTCACAATAGATGTCGCTGTTATTACGCAGACACGGGTCTCGTTGGATAACATAGCAAAAATAAACTTTGTTGTTATAGGTTATAAACATGTGTTTTTTTTCACTAATAATATTATATAATTATTATTTTTTTTATATTAATATTTATATTTGGATAAGAACTTAGTAAAGACTCTAAATTATATTTACCATCATTTAAAAAAAAATGTCTTTGGCCTGACCTATTATACTCTGGCTTGACCATAGGTCTGACTAATTTGTTTATTGAACTGTCAAAATCTTAAGTGGTTAAATAACATTATCTCTCTGGAAAGAGATTGATGGACCCTCACCATATATGAAATGAAATAAAAGAGTTATACAATATACAATTTATTTAAATAAAAAATAAAATACGATGCAAATTAAATTACTTCACAGTATGTACACAACAGCTTGACATTACTGTTACTTTATATTTATTCTTTTGACAAAGCATTAATACAAAGTAACCATCTGGCTGACTCATCACTTAACCTATTTCTATGTTTTCTAATTACTAATTATGCTTTAGAAAATAATCTCTCAGCAGGTACTGAAGTTGCAGGTATTAAAAGAAAATCACGGGCCATCTTCGATAAAATCGGATATTTTGTATCATGCGTCCTCTAACAGTCTAAAATGTCTTCCGAGATGACGGCTCTGGGTTTACCTAGGTACCCCTCCAACTCCTTAATAACTAAGCCTTGAAGACAAGATCCAGATCCATTTTTACACATTTCAAGTGTTTTAAAAGTGCTATGGTGTCAACCATATTTATCAAATGTGTGACGACATATTCGAGCACTTGGTGTTTTAAAAACACACACTTGCAAAAGTCGAGATTTGCAGTGAACTTACTGAACATGTTTATCTTTTATGTAATAATAATAACAATAAACCTAGCAAGCTAACAGCATAGCAATGTGGCGAAGCAATCAGCTTAGTCGCATGTTTTTGATTTCCTTGAATTTTTCAAATCGTTCATATGAGAGATGATATGAGAGATGGCTTCTAAGGCCACCTCTTTGATGTCAATTACATCTGGCACTTGGTCTAAGTATTCTGAGTTCATAGTTTCGAGGTTAGCTTCGAACCTATGCCAGTCCGTAACATATTTTGGGTAAGAGGAACCTCGCTGCTGGACTGTCCTAACGACATTATGACCGGGCGGTGATCCGATGTCAACTCATGCACCACTTCTATGGAGCGTAACGTTAAGGTTACGTTCCTAAAGAGTACTAAGTCGATTTTGGACAAACTACGATATTGGTTTGTTGAATAGTCACTTAGTTTTACTAAGTGCTCGCCGTTTGTATTCGCCCTAAGGTGATTGTGTATAAACTTACCCGAGAAAACCGCGTAGAAATGACTATTTTCACCTTTAATCACTTCCCGCTTAAAATCGCTTAAAGAATTAAATGAAATTAAAACTGTTTTAAAAGGCGTATGACCTTGTGAAGGAATGTAATGGCGAGGCCCCGAAGGGCTAGCCTAACGGTCGCCTGACTCGACGGCAGCCGGCCTAAACCTACTCTAGGTGGAGCGAGATTCGGTCTATAATCGCCTAGTACGCAAAGAGGAATTTAAATTATTAAAAACCCGAGTCTATTTTTTGATTAACGCGACGCGATGAATTAACGAATATCTCCACTGAATTAACAGTTTCGAATACCGGGTTAACTAAATGGTTTTTACTAATACGAAACGGACGCCAGAACGTAACCTTTACTTTTAAAAAAAATGAATTTTTAATTTTAAGTTTAAAGATTAAAGTTTAAAATTTAAAGTTTGAAATTACGTTTAAAAGTTTACGTAATCGCACTGAGACAAACGGATCGGATGACTGTTTGCATTCGAAGTCTGTGTAAAAGTGCTGTAGCTCCCCATTTACAGAATTTATTTATATACGAGGCTACCAAATCAACGAAAATTTCGCCATTTTGGAGCCGAAAAAAATTAATTATAGCGAAACAAAACAAAATTACACTGCCATTTACATTCAGTGGCTTCCCACATGATAGATGAAGAGATTAAAAAATAGATTGAGTTAAACAATTGATATTTTCAAAAGTTATCGTGTTTACAAGCCACAGGGACATGATAAATCCACACCATAAGCCACTAACACCCTTTTTTTATCTAAAAATAGTAATTAATCGATTTAAAAAAATTATTAATAAGTTCAACAACCATTTATCTTTCTAAAGACCTGTCGATTGATATGCTACATGCCCTGTGTCAGTCTGTTGAGAATTTGAAATTGTAGCGGTTTCTAACGGTTGCCGTTGAGCAATCAGTTTCAAAATAGGAGGTGCAGATGCCTGGGTGATCAGTAATCGATTGCTGAAATCAGAATTTGAAAATTCGAAACCGTTCTCGAGATAATCTTGGGACAGACGGACAGACATCGTGAAATCAATAAGTGACTTTGCAAGCTTCGCCACTTAATAATAGTAAGTAATTATTATAAATCCATATAGTTAATTTTATAATAATTACTTACTAGAATAAATTATTATGATACCTACCTATTATCTAATTACAATATTTCTTGCGAGATCAGGATAATGTATTCGTGTCCATTCTGAGCACCCGGAAACTTATTTTATTCTTTGAAACATGTACTCTGTGGCGGCAATCAAACAGTGTCAAATGTAGTGCGTGTGGCGCGGCGGCGACGATTATGCGATATCAATAGTAGCCGCCGGCACGTGTATCTTGACCTTGTACTTTCGAATAGCTGCACAATTTCTTTGACAGGTCAGTATCCGACCTTTGATGACGCCGACAACTAGACGCCGCGCACTATCAAAGTGCCGATGGTCAAAACTAGGGATGCACTCTTTTTTCTTTTAATGGATATTTTCATTCGCTATGTATGTTTATGGTATTGTTCGTAATGCGCATAAGTCCAATTTTCCAATTTTTTTTCATTATATTTTTTTGCGTCTCATACAGTCCCTAAGCGTATACCCGAACTCCTATACTCCCTGAAACGACACTTAGTCCTAACTGCAAGACGCAAGAGTCTCGCAAGCTTAGTCTTGTTCTTGCGCAAATCTTGCACGGTCAGTCTTGGTCTTGGTCTTGCTAAAAAGAGGCGGTCTTGTTCTAGGTCTTGGTCTTGTCAAGACCAAGACTGCAAGACCAAGACCGATTTTGGGCAACACTAAGTAGGAGATACGATTTAAGATTTATACAGTGAAACCTATAATTAGCTGTTATAATTTATAACCATTTATAAATTATTATCACTGTATATTCATAGGAGCTGTTGGTTTTCTTAATAAATAAATAAAAATAAATTAAGTTCACATTTTATTTGTTTCTATACCGTCTATTTGAGTTACACTTATGTAAGCATGTGTTAACATATAAAAAGGAAGAGCACTATGATGTGAAATATATGTTTCTGTAGTTCAGACAGATGTTTTATAATTTATTGTGAACAAGTATGGATCATAGAGTAGTTATTTATAAATATGATAGTTATGCAAGTGGTGAAAAAAAGCATATTCGTAATGATTATATTACCGGAAATATATATACAGGGTTTTTTTTAAAGAGTAGCCAAACTTTATATATATTTTACATTTTTTGAAAATAATATAGTTAATAAGGTTTCCACTTTTATTTGAAATTATCCCAATTTAAATGTGATGCAACAACTACGCATACGCGCGCGCGCTCCTATGTGTGTGATTCTATGCACAAAGTTTTTGCCTACTCTTTACTTTCATAGTGACACGCTTTCTACGAATACTTAGGATACGTAGTACTATTATTTATTCTGTGCTTAGAATAATAACTATGTAGGAAGTATAGTGGGTATAGTACAGAGACTGATTTTGTAGTTAGGAATAATAGTTAATTCGTTTACACGAATTAATTATCCAACGAGTCGAGGATAAACTAGTAACGGAATACTACAAGCGCACCGGTCCACGTCAGAGCCAAGACTGTCCTAACGGCGGCAGCCCCGTCCTTTTTATACAAGCTAAACGGGCGCCACCGCAGGTGCAATGGTGCAGGTGTGCGGAGCACGTGTTATTCACAAGAATTATGTCTAGCTATACCGACGCCGCCGCACGTGCAATGGTGCACGTGCCGTCATATAAAACGGACGCCACCGCAGGTGCAATGGTGCAGGTGTGCGGAGCACTTATTATTTACAAGAATTCTGTCTAGCTACACCGACGCCGCCGCACGTGCAATGGTGCACGTGCCGTCAACTACATGACGCGAATTATTACTCCAATTTTCCTTTTACACTTTTAGACTTAGACTTAGGATCGTCATAATAAATTAAATTAAAAAATATCTTTTTGCTTATTAACGACGTAACCGAAGACCGTGCTTATTATCGCGTATTTAAACTATTACTATAAATTGAAATACAACTAAATTACGCAGATAATCATATCCTAATATTGGTACCTCAAAATGGAATCCGTTTCTCTTGTGGGGATGTGAACAACGTAAATTCAAATTAGCGGATAGGAGCGCGAACGAGCGGCCTGATGGCGTCGGGTGACCGAATCGTCTGGCGAGGCTCCGTCCGTTTTATACAAGCTAAACGGGCGCCACCGCAGGTGCAATGGTGCAGGTGTGCGGAGCACGTGTTATTTACAAGAATTCTGTCTAGCTACACCGACGCCGCAGCACGTGCAATGGTGCAAGTGCCGTCACGGCCATACTGACATGCGTGCGTCCTCGCACGCGCTCCATCACAATCTTAGTTATCTGAAGACAGAAAAACATCGTTCGATTCTCCTGACAAAACAGCGTCTGGTCCGGTCTATATTGACCCTTCAGACTCGGGTGACAGTCAGTTTTGTTCCGGCAGCAAGCCCTACAAAACTTTAATCATCTTTATGTAAGATCGGAATGATTAGTCTGTAGCTTTTTCTATTTTCTCTTTTTTTTTCAAGTACAGTTTTCGCTAGTCCGGAATCACTATTCCCTATAGCTATATCACTGGACCGGCACAAAGCGCTGCAATTACAGGAAGAACTATTCTTTTTTCTTAATCTCTTTTTTTTTTCAGTACTATTTATGCTAGTCCGGAATCACTATTCCTTGTAGCTATATCATTGGACCGGCAAACGCCCTGCAATGATAGTAAGAACCACATTTTTTTCTTACTCTCTTTTTTTCAATTTAGTTTAGAACAGTTACAGACCAACCATACCGCAAACATGTCCCCGTCACAATCACACAAAAGTGTATCGTGAGGGACGTAGTGACACGATAACACCTAGGTATGTAAACCAACAGCAACACGACACATATCACATAGTAAAATTGTTATATAAATTGTATAGTAAATCAGTTAAAATAATGCATTACCACGCATTTCGGATTTAAAAGATAGAAAATGACAAATGCTTGAGATTTTTTAAAATTAATTTTTTCTTCACCATTTGCCTATATTACTTACTAGCAGCCCGCCCCGCATGATTTCCGCAGTAAAACCAGATTAACCGACATAGCCCAACGGATTTGTAAGCTGAAGTGGCAATGGGCCGCCCATATAGCTCGAAGAACCGACAACCGATGGGGAAAAAGGTTTTCGAGTGGCAGCCTCGTACCGGTAGGCAAAGTGTAGGGCGACCCCCCACTAGATGGAGTGACGACCTGGTAAGACATGCAGAAATTCGATGGATGCAGGTGGCTCAGGACCGTGCTTTGTAGCATTCCTTGGGGGAGGCCTATGTTCAGCCGAACTTTTTCCAAGACAAGTGGCATACGATTGTTAGTGTATCACTCTGCAGTAACTGTTTTTCGATCCTCTAAAACAATTGTTGCGTAGTGACCTGTCCTTACGAAGAACTAGGCAACCATCTTATTTCCCACGCTTCGACCTCTCTTCAATTTGGGTGGCAACTCCTCGGAAGGAAACACCCATACAGCAGACTGTCTCTTAGTTTCAGGATGATTCCAATAAATGCAGCTTTCGTCACCCGTAAGTATGTCGAACACAGTATTTAAGTCACCTTCGTTAAACCTTTGAACCATTTCACGACACCGATCAACACGACGGAGTTTTTGGGCCTCTGTCAAATTATGAGGTATTCACCGGGCACAAAGCTTCCTGATCGCTAAATGTTCATTGTGGATTTTGTGCACTTGACTTATACTTTTGTCAGTCTCTATCATACGCCGCACAACACTGATGTTATCTTCAGTCGTCGTCGTAGAAGGCCGTCCGTTACGCAGATCATCGGTTAGATTAGTGCGACCACGTTTAAACTCATTAAACCAACTGTAAACAGTGGCATGAGATGGCGCTACATCGTGAAAGGCAAATCGAAGTCTATCATAACTTTTTTGTAGGTTTAAATGACATCGAAAGTCATAAAAAATCATTGTACGAAAATTTTTTCGCGTTAAATTCATGCTGACGTGACACAGACAATTTTCAATTTTCTAAAATGTCAAATTAATAAAATACAGACACAATAATACGAGTATATTTTAAGAGTAAGTCAAAATTTGAACTAATTTTTTTATTATATCGTTCACAAGTTGGCCAGTTCTTTTTTTTTTTGGAGTTTATGGCCTGGTATCTAGACCTTTAGGCCAAGTCTTATGTATTTTTATTCGGTTTATTGTAATTTCCCCACTCCTTCATAGTATACTGCTTCACAATATGTTGATGCGTCACATTGTGCAGTTCTTGGGAGATTTTGGCGGCAACTTGATCCAGCAGACAGCTGATAGTTGGCGATGGTATCTAAAGGTGCCTATGCAAACAAACAGCTTATCTTGAGAATCCATCACCATCAGAGCACTTGTTTCACTGTTTCCACTAATAGTTCACATGCGTAGACACTTAATACACAAAATCGCAACACTTTTACATATCAAAGTCCACTTCAAACCATTATTTAAACAATAATACAGGAGCAGCAAACCGCCGCCGGTCAATTTCCCGCCAAAACTCCCGTTGGCCAGTTCTAAAATCTTTTAGTGTCGCCCTCGTATCGATTTCGACCGGTTTTATTTTGGTTTCAAGCCATAATAGAATATGCACATGAAGTAATAATGAAAGCCTTTGTAATACCGAAAATGGCGTTTTTCTTCAAAAGTTTTATGAGTTTTTTTTTAACATTAATTTAAACACACGTGCCACAATCTCATGGCTATCGTATGATCTTTGCCCGGGGAATGATTACCTTTTAATTTCAATCTATTCGAGATTACCCGTGAACGTTATATATAAACAAATCAGATTTACTAAAGTTTCCGATGTATGTGCATGCATCTGGAGAACCTGTGAATGTTGTGGGTAATGTTATGTATTGGTCAATATTTTGCGCATTCACGTTTTGATCATGATTTACATCCCGTCATCGCCGCGCCGACCGCCATCATAATTATTATGATGCGAGAGGTTTTATACATAAAAATGGTTATTGTGAGTTATATTTTGAACTTTTTAAGCGGAATCATTCAACCACACATTATTTTCGTGCAACTTTAACTATTGATGCAACGCACGGTGTAGAAGCTCTAAAGAGGCACGACTTTTTCCGGCTGAGTTGACAAATATCATCATAATTTTTAGCCATGATATAAATATATACACATAATATATAACCTATGTCCATCTGAAATAATGTACCTTTCAAATATAAAAAAAAATCAAATAAGTGCAGTGGTGCCGGAGATTACCGTCCACATATATACAAACTCACAAAATTCGCACTCTCTCTTTATCTATACAAATAAATAAAATTGAAGTGTCTGTTTGTAATGTCAAAATTGCAGTTTTTTACTAAATGCATATGAAAGTAAATGCGGTACTTATAACTAAAATACAATTTTTAAAATTTTTGTTTGTCTGTCTGTCTGTTTGTTCCGGCTAATCTCCAAAACGGCTGAACCGATTTTGACGGGACTTTCACTGATAGATAGCTGATTTCATAAGGAGTAACTTAGGCTACTTTTATTTTAGAAAAAAAAATATCGTTCCGCGCAAAAACAAAAAAACCCTAACACGCGGGCGAAGTCGCGGGGAACAGCTAGTAATATTATATTATTGTAGTATAGACTCTGAACCTTCTCTGTAAATTTGGCCGGTTATTGCAAAATAACCCTGTATACGGCATAAATATAATATCTAGACAATGTATATCATCATCATCATCATCAGCCTGTAGCTGTCTACTGCTGGAGTGTCTCTGGATGGGTATTGTAAATGACAAACTTATTGAGCCTTATTTTATGCCACAAAATTTAAAAGGGGAAATTACGAAATTTTTTTGCGTAATGATTTGGAAAATTAATAGTAGATGTTCAGACGAAATTAAAAGTAATTTGATTTATTAGAATGGCGGCTGTCCAGCTCACTTCCGGTTATCTGTACGAGAGTGGGTAAATAGCCAATACCCAAACAGGTGGATTAGGAGGGGAGGGCCAATTCCATGGCCTGCACGAAGTCCTGATCTGATGGCACTAGACTTCTACGTTTGGGGTCACATGAAGGACTTAATCTACGTGACCCCAGTGAATTCTCTTGAAGAACTTCGAAGGCGTATCTTAAATGTGGCAGAGCGGAATAGGGCTACAATATCTTCAAAAATAACGAAAACCGAAGTTAGGAAAAGAATCAGGACGTGTATCCGCAACCAAGAGGCACATATTGAGCAAGATGTTTAATCTTTAAAAAACTTGGTAAATAAATTGTTTAAGTTGAGAAATGACCCACATTAGTTTAATTGACTGTACGTTATGAATAAATGTCTTTTTATATTGATATTATTACCTTTTTGGATAGCTGATTAAATGGGCATGTTTTTTAACAATCTTATGTCTCATGTCATAGTATTTTTTGAAGTACGTAACATTTTATGATACATAAAGTGTAAAAAAAGAAAAAAGAAATTATTAAGACCCATAGTTTATTATTGTGAATACTTTTTGTACTATTTATGATTGTATTCGCTTGGTTCAAGCTTCAAGAAAATAAATAAAAGAAAGCATATGCACAAAAAAGGCTTTATTTTTTTTTTAGAGTTCAATACGAAATTCTGGGTGATTATTGAAAAATCTTTAAAATCCGTATATCTCAAGACCTGTTCATTTTCGGTAGCATTTTAACTCCCCTAACACTGCCTGCCAGGAAGTTGTCGCGTTTCCAGTTACCCTGTATATTGTTTAGAGCACTGTTATGAAATTAAAGAAATAAGGGCTTTAATGTTGTGTTATTAATTCGTTTCTTTGTTCTAGATAATGCTTGAGGTGTGTATAGATAGTTTGCAATCTGCAATCAATGCAATCCATGGTGGTGCTGATGAGTTGGAAGTATGTAGCTCATTATCAGAAGGCGGTTTAACTCCTTCGCCTGGGCTTGTCATGGAAATACAAAAAATGGTTTGTGTCATTTTTTTGTTGTTGCAACAAAATTACATTAATAAAAGACATTCATTTTGAAGTGATTTTTTGTTACAGATTGACAATATTGCTTGCAAAAAGGTAATACATAAAACTTGTTCCCAGTGCAGCTGCCAAAGTTTATTGAAGGTAATTTTCTGTTTCATTCTGAGAGTTTATTTACAACCCATATTTTTCTTTATAACATGATTATAATCATTCTTATTGCTTACAGAAACCTAAAGTGAATGTGATGGTAAGATGCCGGATGGGTTCAGATTTTTGCTATACCGAAGAAGAAATGGATACTATGCTATCAGACATAGAATTTTATAAAACTTTGCATGTTGATAAATTTGTTTTTGGAGCATTAACAGCAGATCAAGAGATTGATGAACAAAACTGTGTTAAAGTTTTAAATGCGGCACATCCCATACCCGTTACATTCCACAGAGCATTTGATATATGCAAAGATCCTCATAGTGCTCTTAAAAAAATCGTTGACCTTGGTTTTAAAAGATTATTAACGAGTGGTCAAAAATCTTCGGCGGGTGATGTGAATGCAATTGAATTATTACGTAATTTAATTACTATTTATGGGGATAAAATTGAAATTATGCCAGGTGCAGGTGTAAATGCTGATAACGCTAAAGAATTTGTAAATATAGGCTGTAAAATTATTCACAGTTCTTGTAAACGCATTAAGCAGTTGCCATCGGTTGAAAATAATTTAACTATGGGCACCACTTCTAGTGAGTACATATATATTACTGATGTCAACATTGTGCAAACACTTAAATGGGTTTTGTCATATTTATGATGTGAACAAAGTTACGGTATTCGTAAGACGTAGACAGTATTTGAATTTTGTACTACAGTCGTCTGGCAACTTTACAAATGGAAGTTAAGTTTGGCATCAGGGATGTATAGGTACAAAATTACGATTAACACTGACAATGTAACGTTTTCGTTATTTCGTTATTCTGCCACGAAATGCTGGAACAACATTCCACCACCAATTGGAAATCTAGATTCAATCGGTTTGTGTAAATATAACTACAAAAAATACTTACTCAATATTCAAAAGTCAATTTATTGAAAATTATTTACTGTGTCTTACATACTTTTCTAATCCGTTTATTCGTTTCCTTTTAATCTTATTTAAGTAATTGCTATTTTTATTATATTAATTTATTATATGTACTTGTGTATGTTTTATTACTTATATTATAGTGTAATCGTGTATATGGTTTAAATATACTGTATTTGCATATTGACTTAACATTGTATAATAATGAATATTGTTAAGTTTTGATTTTGGTAAATGTTATTGGCAACCACCAAGACTATGCTGAGTTGGGTACCTTTTTAGTAACCGTTTATCTTAATATGTCATTATGGTTTGCAAACTTCACTTATTTTCTTTCTTTCTTCTTTCTTTCTTTCTTTCGAGATATGCCTCTCTTTGGATGAAAATTTAATAACTAGATAACAGTATTGCTTTCGATAATGCAACATGAAAGTTAATTTTGGCACTTTATTTTAACGCGGGATTGTGCCGGCAACTTAACCTCTTTCAGTGCTTCAGAACTTTTGTTGATTTTGAATAAAACTATGCTTACGGCTTTTATCGCGTTTAATTTAATTATTTCAATTCCCGACTTTTTCGGGTGCTTTACAGCACCCATGGTCACGGCTCCCTCCACTGAGATGTTTGACGTCCCGATGCCACAGTTAGCCCGGCTACTTTCAGTTTTTGAATATTAATTTTTGATTTGATCTACGCAGAATGAGCTTACAGTATCCTGAAGTCTTGCAGTGGTATGCTTGGATTTGAATTTAGTTTTATTAATTATAGGATCCCAAGCAGGTGGCAGTACCTATCCATCTTCTCTATTGAAATTAGAATGTTTTTTAATTCCTTGGTAGGAATCGGTGTTTTTTTGCGAGGATTTGTGGTCTATCATATCTGATGTTACGGTGGGGACAATCTTGAACATGTTCTCAGACTGTAGACTTCCCAGAGCGTCGGTGCCTCACGTTAGCTATGTGTTCTTTCTTTTTTATTTGTTTTAATAGATCTTTTTGTTTGTTATATAAGAGATATAAGAGAGTTTGTGATATAAGAGAGACCACATTCGCAATCAAGCTTGTCAACACTTCTGCATCTTGTAGAGGGATATTACACTTGACGGATTGAAGTATGTTTTAATGGAAGCTCGCTTCAAGATATAGCCTACCTTGTCTGTGACTCCTTTGACATAGGGTAGTACAGCAGGCACACGCTCGACTATGGCTGGATTCACTCGGTTACAGTGACGTAGGCGCGGGACCCGAAGCTTGTTGTCTTACAGTACTTGCTCGACGTGCTGAAGCTTGGCGGCCAGATGTTTTCTGTCACAGATCCCTCATGATCTCTGAAACAAAAATTTTTCCCACAGTAGCTAATTGTGACGAATGATAGTGAGATTCACCATTTAAATATCGGTTGGTATGGGTCTTTTTCCTATACACAGTGTGACAAATAGTGTTATCAGGATTTCGGATGACTAAAACATCTAGGAAAACTAAATAATTGTTTGCCTCTAACTCCACTGTGAATTGCATTTTAGAGTTTATGGAATTAAGGTGGTCTAAAAATGCAGTTACTTTGTCAGATGGTAAAATTGTGAAAGTGTCGTCTACGTACCGCTTGTAGAATCTTGGATTTACAGGAGCAGTAAGAAGGGCTTTCTCCTCAAAGTCCTCCATGAATATGTCAGCGACTTTGGGAAATACAGGTGAGCCCATCGCCATCTACTTGCTTGTAGAACTCCTCCTTCCACAATAGATAGCCAGACGTGAGGCAGTGTTTGAGTAATACTGCATATTCTGTAGACATGTTGTTTTCTTCTAGCTTCCTGGTTACAATTGAGATGCAGTCTTCAATAAGTAAGCGTGTAAATAGTGACTGAACACCAAAACTAACTATAGGTTCACTGTCAGCGAGATGACTTTTATCTCACTAACAAAATGGTACGAATCCTTTGTGTGTACTCTGGTATGTCCTCTTAACTATGACATCGGGAGGTCAAAAATCTCAGTCCCCCCATGACCATGGGTTGCTATAAAGCAGCCGAAACGTCGGGTATTAAAATAATTAAATAACCTGTTAGACCGACTTTACTTAATGTGTTGTTAATCGATTTATCTTTATCAAAAGTGAAGGAAAAGGAAAGAGAAATCTATATTGTTTTCACTGCATTATACCCGACATTAATAATATTATTTCTACACAGTGTATTTCATATTTTGAAATTAGTGTGTTGATATTAATTTGCACCCAAAGGATAGTTTCATTCAATAATTATGAATATTTCGCTATTGTGGGAAAACAATATTTAGGTTGATTTCGCCTTCATGACAGCCTCGAATATGATTTTGTAGGCCGACCAGGAAGAAGTCCCGTCGAACGGCGGCACTTTGAATCCACGTAGCGAAGGTGTTGTAGCTACTACGGGAGCTGTAACTCCATCCCCAAGTTTGAGGTCTTCCTTCTTTTCTTCACGTCGGCCATCACGTTGTCAACCCGATTGTACACTTGGTCGATTCGGGTTTCAGCTTCCGACAGGCGGTTGTCATATTGAGCAACCTTATCCTTCACCTCCCTTATCTCTTTCCCAAAGGTAACGTGAAGGTCCTTCATGAGAAGTATCTGCTCTTCCTTATTGCGTTTGAGCTGCTCTTCCAACGGACGGCCCTGTTCCTCCTGTTGGCGGGCCTGTTCCTCCTGTTGGCGGGCCTGTTCCTCTTGTCCGCGCTGCAGCTGTTTTTCTAACCGACGGGCCTGTTCCTCCTGTTGGCGGACCTGTTGCTCTTGTTGGCGGGCCTGTTCCTCTTGTCCTCGCTGCAGCTGCTCTTCCAGCCGACGGGCCTGGCCTCCTGTCGGCGAGCCTGTTCCTGCAGCATTATCATCAGAGCACCTAAGTCAGGTGCTATAGATGCAGGAGCTGATGACGGACCGGCCTCCGTGGTCAGCAGCTGTCCCTCCGATGCTTGCGGCGTTGTATTACCAAATCGTCTCTGGCCCGTCTCCAGCTGGCGTTGACTTCGGGTACGGATACCCTCCATTTCGTCCTTTGGTAAAATCGACATGATTTAATCCCACTTCTGACACCAATTGTTACGAGCTTAGGGTTCGTGACAATTAAAAACTGCCGATTGAATTACCAAAATTGACACTTTAATTACGGATACTATTTACACCTTAAAACACACTAATAATAAAACACAATAATTCTACTGATCACTTAAGTTCGCACTTGTTTCGCTTCGAAGTATTCTCTTGTATCGCCAAATCAATACTGCCTTCGTCGTGGTCTATACCGGTCTTATATAGGGCCTCAGCTAGTTCCCAGAACCTTCTACTTTAGCGACATCTAGAATGTTCGAGTACATATCGGTCCCGAAATTTCTGGAAGGATCTTGACTCTCCTAGTTCTGCTACTCGACACTAGAGGGCGCTAGTGTAACTAGTGTTGCCATGTACAAGACATTAATAGTGGCGCGCAACAGTATTATATTATTGACTAGCTGTGCCCACGGCGTAGCTCGCGTATATAGGTTTTAGTTAAATAATTTGAAATTGAGGTAAAAGAATATTAAACGATTTATATCATTACTGTATGAATAAGTGGTTACAAAATAAATCGTTATGCTCAAAGTTCTGAGTAGTTTGTGATAGAACTTCTGTGTAAATGATGTTAGAAACAAACAGCCGGGGCGTACAGAAAAATGTTACGGGAGCTACTAACGCGGAAAAAAGCAATATAGAGTTGGCCATATGCAAAACAGTCAGTACTGAGGTCCACTCCTGCAACGCGTAAAGTTTGACCTTGCGCTTTATTTACGGTCATCGGTGATGATGGATGGATGTGATGTAGGTTCTGGAGCTTCCTCTGAAGATCTCAATATTCACATATGCACACCGCTGAGTACCTATAACACGGTCTTTCAGGCGGAATGTATGGGTATCATTCAAGCGGCCATAGCAATAGATGCTAGGAAGGTTAATGAATAAAGTTTATATGTATGGCACATATATATTATATGTTTTAGAGTATATATTTGTACTTTTATATGTTTATATTTAAATATATATTTATATGTATATATATACATATATATTAATATGTATGTATGTATTTATCTTATCTATGTGCTTATATTATGTGTACTTACATATTTCTATTTTATGGCTTTAATAAAAATAATGTTATTCTTGTCGCCAAACCAAAATTTTTTTATTGTTTTCTTGCAATCCTATCCATCCAAAGGTTGTCTGGAAGAGATCGCTCTTTGCGATAAGACCACCCCAATGGCGCATGCTACACACTCGATAATTATCACGATATTTGGATCATAATCTAGAATTACGATATTTATCGAGAGTGTAATATAGCATATCACGGATCGTGATACAGATCGCTGGATTTCTAAATATCCAGAAATCCAACGATCTGTATCAAGTATCGTCGATAAATATCGAGTGTCTAGTCTCTGGTCGATATTTATCGTGTCAGTCACAGAGTACACAGTACATTATAGTGTCAGTATCACAGAGTACTTTTATATATACTGAAAGTCAGTATAACGCGTAGTGTTTCTATATAGTTTGTGGTCAGTATTCATTTTCATTGTCACCGACGGAGGAGGACGCGTTTCTTGATGAGGTGGCGGCGCCAGGCGTACCTCAAACGAATGACCAAAAAACTTGAATGAATTCTTGAGAGAGACGTGTAAATAGAAAAAAATGGATCGAGCCAATGCTTTTTTTCTCTT